GAGTTGGCATTTCACATGGGGTCCATAATTTACTGATATAATACTTTATATCACTTGTATGCTGATGACACACAGTTATACATATGTGTTTCTTGCAACAGCCTTAGTCCAGTAAATTACCTCATCTGATGTAATGCTAGTACAAAATATTGGATGGCCATTTTTATTTATTTTTTACAGTTAAATGAGGCTTTGAGGCACCAGATATACTCTTTGTTCAATATTAAAATAAAGACGTGTGTGAATGCCTTTCAGAAGCAGATATCTAAAATCTTCAAGACTGACTTCTTTTCATCTCTGAAACAAATCATATTTTTCTTTGCTTTTTATCTTAAAAGGCATCAAGTCCACACCTTTTGAATGAAAATGACTATAGAAATAAACCTGACTTGACTTTAATAATGAAAATCATAAACACGAACATCTTCAATGTAGTTTTGTAATGAAAAACATAAGAGATCATACTTTTAATCTTTCAGAATGTAATAAATATAATGGTTCATGCTCTGATAATGTTTCAGTGCTGCAGTGCTTCTCTGGTCAAAATGGATGTGAAACTGAATAGAGGTGATGAAATATATTAAACCGCAGAACCAAACTGGTAATACATTTAATTCCACCGTCAATTGTGATGCTAAATAGATGAACCTATGTGGTTACATCTCATCTTCCATTTTTATATAAATTAAAAAAGACTTGAAACCTCCCATTACTCACCACCATTATTTGTACTATATGACCAAAAGATGTTTTATTAGTACAGTTTAAATGCTTGGATTTCCATTAAACGAGTGACACGTAGACATTGTCACACAATCATTGAAAATACAATAAGTTAAGACCCACATGAACTTCAATAGAATTGCAGCCATTAGTGCATTATCTCATGAAGGCAAGAAGCAAATGTGTCCATCTAGACAGAGCTGACTAGTAAACTGCAGAGTTTGAATTTAAATAATTTTATAGTAGATAACACTGTTTTGATGGATGAAAAGCAAAAGCTATAGTTTCCCCATGTCCATGAAACCATGAACAAACTTGTCTCTATTTTGTATATTTTCCCTTTGTCTGTATTTATCTGAGTGTATTCTTCTATTTTGTTGCTTATTTAATTTTTGTCCTATTTTACTAGTGCAGTGGCTGTTCAAAACCTGCCTGTATGGGAATGGGCTGTTTGTTTGGCCTGTTCGGGCAAAGTAAAGACCAGCTGTGGGACCCTGAAGCTGCACCCCCACTGCTACACAAAGAGCTGTTCACCTGTTTATTAAAATTTCAGTGAAGCACAACTCGGTACCCACAACCCTGAACAAAAATCTGTAGTTTTTGTCGTCGTTGGCAACAAAAAGCGACGTGTCATGATCGGCAGCCTCACTTACTTTGATGGCACCCAGCTGCTGCAGAGGTCTGTTTATTCAACGTGTATTAATATTAAATGTATCACACATCCAAATCTCGTCAAAGTCAGCACTGCTCTTCCTTTAACTCTTAACGATGCACATACCAAGTGTGAAGATGATCTGTTCTCGAGATGTGCGCTCCACATACAGACAGACAGAGATGCAATTGGCTTGAAATGATAAGTCTGTGTTTACTGAGACACAGGTTACTAATGTTTATAGAGCAGCTCATGTTGTTGCCAATCAGGATTCATTATTGTGACGGTTCTGCCAACAAGTACTTTGACCTCAGATGGATTCAAGAAATACATTTTTATCTTATCCCATTAAGACCTAAGGCGGTAAATGGGGAAAAAACCTCTAAAACCTGAGGGGTTTCTGTATAGCTAACGTCTAACAGTATTGCCCCCTTATTTTCAAAAACTAATTTCACAGCCTCTGAAGCAGGTAGAGATGTGAAATAAAAGAACACTTGATAGCTTTTCATAACCATTTAAAAACAAACAAACAAGAAAGACTGATATTTTGACGGATATCTCTTACCAGCAGAGCTCTGGTCAGCCGGCAGACTGTCTGGGTCTGAATCTTCATTCAGTTGTTTTCATTGTTTTCATTAATGAAACATTGCTGTAATCTGTTTCAGTATCCCTCCCTTTGCTTGGATTGTGAGCCATTGTCTGAAATACTACATAACCTTTTTTAAATATTACCCAAAAAACCCTACAAAATGTATTTTACCTCTCCCTAAATACTTCAACGAATCAATCACATCTTGAAAATGATGACATCATGGATGAGGCACACACTTTACTTGCAGATATTTGTGAAACACAAGCACTGTACTTTGAAGTCAACTTTCATCTGACACTGGGAAAAAGACAAGTATATTATGGACATGTTGCCAGTCCATCACAGGGCCGACATACAGAGACAAACTTGCCCTCACAGGTCCTGCTATTCTATTAAAAAGTGTAATAAGAAGTGTTCGGGGTCAGTGAAAGTATCTTGTAATAGTTTGGGGGTCTGTGCACCAGGCCACTGCCAGGGGCTTGAAGGTCACAGCGCTCTACCAGTGCTACAAGCGATGCGGTCATTTTTGCCCAGCTAATAGAATTAGCGGGCCATCTGTTTTCATGTGGTGTGCCAGCCCGGAACCCCTGCTAATTATGTCATAATATCCCCTTCAACGGCAGTCGTCTTTTTAATATTCCCCCAGCAAACACTCTGGGGGCAGGCTCCAATAAAAGCAGGTGGCTGGAGACGGAGATGCAGAAACACAAACCCACATGCTCTGTTCTAATGAAATAACA